AGTGTCAATCTCATCGCACTCACTTGAACCCTCCAACAACTGCAGTAACATCCCACGTCGTAGCCGCAACAGAGTGCGCCATAACCTGTTGCCGAATCACGTTCCCTACGCTGGTGAGACCCGGGACGTTCGCGGAGGGGTACGAGAGGACCGTGCCCGTGCGCGTGTTGGAGATCTTGAACGGGCTCGCGCCGGTCGACGTCGTCGAGGTGAGGATCCACTGGATTCACGCGGACTTCCCCGGTCAGTTTTGTAATCGAAAAAGACGAAAGAAAAGGGGTCGAAGGGAAGGAGAAACGAGGAAGTCAAAAAAAAGCTATGAACGACATGCCTTCTGCTCGAACACGCCAAGGTTAGAGAACGCCTGGACGGGCACAAAGTCGTTCGCGACGCCGTTGGTCAGGTCGAGCGCGCGGCTCTGGAAATCAAGGATGGTGATAGCAGAAGCCGCGACGGCCAACGCTGTGAGGTTCATCGTCGCGTTGATACGGGTCTGTAAGTAGGAGTTGGCTGGAACTCTCCCCCCAGTCCAGCGTTTCTTAAAACGATTTTGTTTTGTGAGAGAGACAGAGTTCCGTCTGGCAGGACGTGTACGAGAGGATCACCCACACCACAACCCTCCGTACCTGCCCGTCAAATAAAAAACGTAGAGTGTCACAGTCCCCGATCGACAATGAACACCAAAAACAGAGCCTGAAAATTGCCACTGCGGACAGGCACCGAAAAAACCCGGCAACCCCGCACACTTGTGTGTGTCTGTCCAGGCGGGATAACCGGAAAACGAAGGAGAGGTGTGTGAAACGAACTGTTGGGAACGACATACGACATTGATCAGCGTTGATTCGTGATTCATGAGACGTACGCGTTGGACTCTTGCCATTCACGAACTGGTGATTGATGGCAAGGTGTCTCGGTCACCTGTCGTTGAGCTGGTTGAAGTTGACTTCCTCCGATTCAGCGGGGGGAGCATTCTCAACGTTCGGGTGTTGTTCACCATTGGTGAACGAGTACCACGCGCAGCACCGATGCGGGATTTGTCGTCGATCTATTCTCCAGAGTCCCAGAGTGACGCCAGGTGGGCTCTATCCGAACACAGAACCACCTGGATCCAAAAGAGCGCAAGGAGAGGAAACGAGTCGGTTTGAAATCCAAACCTCGTTGGGATATAAAGGCTCGAGACAAAGACGCGCCGCGGACTGGGGCAGGCTCCACGCAAGCCAGGCATTTCATAGGCAAGCCGGAGAACATCAAAAACGCCAAAAAAAATCCCATGACCCACGAAGGAATCCGGTTCCGAACTCTAAACCTGATCGTATGTTATCAAAAACAAATATGAGATAGCGAAACATTTAGGTAGTGCTCGAATGCATCAGACATATCTGCTTGCGCCCATCTGTTCTGCCTTATCAGCAGCATTGTAACATATTGATGGCACTCCGCTGATGCAAGACACCGGTGTTGTGAACCCCGAGGCTGGGTGGGTATTCCCATACGGTGGCGTTGGGACAGACGCTACCCCCACGATTGGGGTATTGATCAGGGTGGGAGACGTCGTGCGGGGAAGGACAGCTACCGCCGAATACGCGCGAATAACCTCCTCACCCGAAGCGATGGGCGAGGGACAAGAGGGAAAGATCTAAAATTATAAAGACCAAGGAGGGGTATACAACCTACAACCAGACAATCTAATGGCACACATGGGAGAATCACACACAGACTCAGAGCTCACCCGCGTTCTCCTTCGTGACCGAACACTCCAAGTCCCTCAACCTGCCGCTCTCCAACTCGTACACCCATCCATGCACATGAATATCCCTTCCTCTCTTCCACGCCTCCTTCAGGATGCTCGTCCGCGCGACATTGAGGACCTGCTTCTCGACGTTCTTCTCAATGAGCGCCCTGATCGCCTTCTCCTTATCCTCCAAGTCCGAGCTGGACTGTTGCTCGCGGGCAAGGTCGGTGAGCGGTGAGAGCCACCTGGACAGCGGCGTGGCGGCGGACACGGAGGGCTGGGGCTCTGCAGAGGCGTTGTTGTAGCAGTGGGTAGCACCTCCGCAGTAGGTGTGGCCCGCGACGACGATGTGGTCGATGTTGAGGGCTTCGACTGCGTACGTGAGGACCGAGAGGACGTTGTCGTCTTCTGGGTGGAATTGGCTGCAACAGAGGGTGAGGTGGAGGAGATGGAGAGGGACGGGCGGAATGACTGACTTTGCAATGTTGCGATGCACGAATATCTCGCCTGGCTTGCAGGCGACGACGACGGACTCTGGGACACGGGAGTCGGCGCAGCCGATCCAGAGCAGCTGACGAGGAGTGAGGACGGCGGGCGGGCTGGGCTAGATTAGACGACGTACCTTTGGGGACTGGCCCTTTGCGCTCTCTGGGAAGAATGTGGGCTCTGCCTTGTGGACGTCAGTTGCCCAGGCGGCGTTGTTGTTGAGGAGTCGGGAGATGAGCTCGGCGGGCATCGTGGACGGAGAGAGGGAAGATGATGAAAGCGGGGGAATTTGTAGAGCGAGTCTAAATAAATAGGATCGGGCGTACCAGGCACAGTTTGATATCTCTCTTTCATCAGACTGTGCTTACCCGTCGCCACATATTCAACGTTTATCTCGGTTGCCATCGACACCGTCGCCGCTCGTCTTCTGGACAATGCACCATCGTCGCCGCCGTCGTCGCTGCTGTCGTCGCTGTCGCTGTTGCTGCCGTCGTCGTCGTCGTCGCTGATGAAGAGGACACCGGCGATGACGTCGCTCCTGCGCTTCCTAGCCGTTGCCTTCCATTTCGGGTGACACATTACCGCATATGGTGCGGACGTGTTGGCAGCCAATCAGAGCCCTCCCCAACGAGATTTCTCATTGGCCCGGAGACCCGTGGACCAATGAAAATCGTTGTCCAATCGGAGCGACCGCCGATCTTTTTTCTACTCACCGCCTGCCTCAACCACTGCGCACATCGTCGCAGACGTTCCTGCTAACCCTCGCAACCTCCACCTCGAGGTCCCAACTTGCTGAGAATCAGAAAGTCCGCAACCCACTTTCTTCTCACCAATCTCATTTGCATCATAACAACAGGCACCTCTCCCCTGGACGACACCAATATTAATGGCAATAATCTGAAATACCCATTGAGTGCTGTTCCGCTCAGTCCACTGGAAACGTCTAGTTCCCAAATGTGTGTCTTCTCGTTTTCTTGACTTCAGCCAAGTGACCGTGCATGCCGAACACGACGGGGTTACCAGTCGCAACTCTGCTTCTTGAAGCAGACGAGGCGCAATGCAGAGCCGCGCTGACCGTTGAATTGTTGATACTGGCCTGCCATGGATAGGGCTCTCCCACGCGCACTGATTCGACGATCTTCACTTGGCTGATGATGCTCACAGTCGCCCTCTTGCTCGGGTTGCCACGCTCCCGAAAACGGTAGTGCGACGCAAAGCGGCTCGTGAGACTCTCGTGTGGCGGGGGCTCGTGAATATCTTCAGCCCTTTGCCCCATAAGACCACATCTCCTCGAAGTCCTTCGTTCACTTCCGCTTTTCAAACCCGCACCCCACAATGTCGAACTGCTCCGACAGCGACTGCAAGGGTCATCATCTGCCGCTGTTTCACACTGTGAGAGCGCCTCTCTACTAAGTCACTCTCCGAGTCGCGTACGCTCCTGCCCGCTTCGTCGCGATGTGCTGCCACCACACCGCCATTGACGATTCCAACCTCAGCGATTCTACTCTAATCAGTCGACTCAGTTTCGTATTTCATGACTCGCGTTCAACCGACTAACCCTCTTACACTTTCACAGACACAAGGACACAGAACCGTCCAAAGCACTGCGCCCTCCAATCTGGACTTTACCCGCCGTCTCGACAACGCCATCGAATCCCGTCGAGCCCAGCGAGACGTACTCGTTGGGTTCTTCCGCATTCCACGCGAGGAAGGCCGTAACTGGTAATGTACGATGCACCTCTCAAACATACTCCTCTTCCACCATCACAAACAACACGACACTCCCTACAGCGCTAAACATGTGCCCCATGGCTGAGTTGGTTACAGCGTCCGACTGTTACTTTGTGGTTGACATCGGAAGGTCGTGAGTTCGAGCCTCACTGGGGCAGCGAAGAGAGACGAAGTTCTGACTCTTATTTTTTTTTCTTTTGGTTCCCTCCTGTGCCTGTTTCCTTAGACCTCAACTCTGTGCGAGCATGTTCGTTTCACTGCCTATTCAGGTAAGCAGCGAATCATTTTACTCTGCTATCAAACATCAAAAATGGCTCGGGGCACTGCACAGTTGCAATTGCCAGACGACACTTCGGTTCATTTCATATTCTCGAAACCATGCTCTCAGAGGACGGTGCGCAGTCGGTCCACCAACTCGAACACTCCGACGATGAAATCTCCGACAATCGAGTACACCTCAACGAGCTCGTACAGAGCGGTTTCCATGGAAGTGAATACCTAATGGTAGCAAATACTGATACGCCCTCCCCGCCGTCCGAGGAACCTCTTTCTCTCCCACGAACTCCTCCCTCTATCGCCCAGTCAGAAAACCAAACGAGCTTCAGTATGCGTCCCAAAACAAAAACGACGCAACAGTCGGTCAGAAACGGTACACACAAACCTCACAGTACCTAACCCTGCCAAGCTTCTTGATGTATACCCCCTTTCCCATGGTTTCCTATTTCGTTCAAGAGTGAGTATGTGGACGCTTGGCGACGACGAGCAGAGAAGCAGAGGTTCCGAAAAGGGACGTCGTCGTGTCGATGAAAAACCAGGTAGTAGGTTACTCCCCAGTTCGGAATTCGATTCGGGGGAGCCGGTGGGTTGTTACGAATGGGGGGGTCCAGACGAGAAACCCGCTATGTTTTTGAGACCCGAGAAAGCGCGTCAAAATGCCATCTGGTCGCGGTCCAAAAAGTTGCGAGAGGAAAAAGCAACCAGGTGTGGCGGCGCCCCGGTGGCACGACGAGTTCAGCCTGTCTTGACGCATCTTACCGCTGAGAAACGTACATGCCCCATGGCTGAGTTGGTTACAGCGTCCGACTGTTATGACTTCGTCACGTACATCGGAAGGTCGTGAGTTCGAGCCTCACTGGGGCAGGGTCCTTTCTTTTCCTTCCTCCTTCTCGCCTCTCCTTTTTTCGTCTCTTTTCTTACTCGCTTTCGCTCTGAGCCACATAATTCCAGTGGTGAATCTTTAAGATTCAGAGCTATCAATACAATGCAGATGCACAACAGTCGAAGCTTGAACATTGTCGTCAGCCTCACTGGCAATTCAGAACGGCCACAACACGAGAAGCCCTCAAGACTCAAAAAAACGGGTCTGATCGCCGGGCTCAACCTCTCTCATTCTCTACTTACACTATCAACAAACAGAAGCGTCCCCAACCCTCACGTCACCACGCATACGGTCGAAGTACCAACAAATTCCGTTGTCCTCCCACTCTCGAAAACGACGAAGACCCTTGTCATGTCGCGGCTTCGCGGCGAAAACAAAACGAGGGGCGCCGACCCCAGCGAGTCCCGGTGATTGAACACACAGGAGGGACAGAGAAAAAGGTCCGAACATTGTATGATGAGACCGATGAAGATCATGGACGAAATATTACGAATGAACATGCGAGATCCTATCATACAGATGACGAGAGAAAAAGAAAACGAGGGGCTTACTTTAAGTTTCGCGAGGTTATTCCTGTGTCCATGTTCTCGGAGGAAATAGAGAGGGCTGGGGTGGGGGTGAAGTAACGAAAGGGAAATTAGCCGTTAAGGTTGGGACGACGATACGGTGGAGCTGGTGATGGAGATACGCAAGATATGAAGTCCGGTTATGCCGCGGGTACTACTATGAAAGGAGGGTCCCATCTGACATCTAGGTGTTCGATATCTCTATCTCCCGTCGGAAGAGGAAAGGAGTTGAAGGTTGCACGCCTCGGGACACATACACACACAACCCAAAAGGTCCCAAAGTCCAAAAGTCGCCGTCTCTAAGTTTCCACCCACACAAACAAAACGTCCTCCTTTGAAAGAAAAAGCAAAGAAACAAACCCTCTCAAAGGAAAACACCCGGAACGCGTCGACAGAAGAGAAAAAAAGTCCCACTCAATCTCGGAGACCCGCACCCACACACCCGATCAGCAGCACAGTGGGTGTGGGGGCATGTGGGCGGCTCCGATACTGTACGAGGAAAAGGGGGGGGGGGGTCGGAGACACCCGACCGCCCATGAGGATCGTCGCTGGGGTGCATATAGTAAATCTTTCCAGTCAACGAAAACATCCAAGGGGAGATATCAGGATCAGAGTGGACCGAACCCACCGAACCAGCCGAGTCCGATAGTCGATAGGCTTTTGAAAGGGGTGGGGGGGTGGAAAGAAGGCCCAAGACACCGAGGACTTGAATGGACATGTTGATCCTGAGGTTCGGTGGGAGGCGCGTGTTCTACAGAAAAAAACACAACGTGTGTGTGAGGGCCAACGATCCCAACTCTAACTATGCGCCTAAACCGTGGGGACAACGTCCGAGAGGCTGTCGGTTTTGGGATCTGCCCAGGAACGACAAACCTAGAGGTGAAGGTCGCGGAAGGCAGGAAAACGCTCGGAAAAGTGCAGAACATACGCGTATGTTCTCCACGAAGAGAAAGAGAGAGAGAGATCTGAGAGAAACGATCAAGGTCCTCCGTGAATCCTGGCAAGGATCGGGTCCGCAAGGCGGCGTCAGGTTTTTCGATTATTTTTGGAGACGGATGAACCCACGGAGATTGGGGTTGAGATTAAGACTGGATGGCAGGATCGGGAAAGTGCATAAAGATGAGATGAACAACTGTATCAGGCAGGTAGAGGGTCGTGCAAAGAGTGTCTTCTTCGTTTCTGCGTGCTACGGTCAGGCCATGACAGAAAACACGTGAAAACGCACTGAACACTTCATGTCCCTCACGTCCAAAGCAACTAACCGTCGAGCGTCCGAGGAATGAATGCGGGGTGATACACGTTAACCGCGAGGTCTGGCAGTGAAACGCACATGACGGTGAACGTGTGCAGGCACGGACCGAGACTGAGTTGAACCAGCAGAGCGTGGGAGAGCCACTTGGACCGAGTGCGCCGAGAGAGACGCCGGACCGCCGGATGAGGGGATGCCGCCGTTTTTACCATAAGAGGCAAGTGTGGCTCCATGACCTTATAAGCAGCCTCTTTCTGAGCTCTATCTCTCTGCATCGACGACGATGATTCGGTTCGACAACCTCCCGCCCGAGGTGATGCAGGCGATGTGCACTCCAATGCACCTCATCATCCCCGCCTCAACCCGCCAGGCCACCGGCGCACTCTTCCTCGGCTCCTTCTCCGCCATCCTCGACCCCGCCCTCCTCGCCTCTAACAACATCAACGCCCTCGTCCAGGTCCTCGAGGCCCCCTGGATCCCCTCCGTCGACGCACACGCAAAGCAGGGCATCCACCTCGAGAGCTATCGCCTCGACATCATGGACAGCACCTCCGCCGACATCAAGCCCCACCTCGAGGCCACCGTCCGCTGGATCGACGACAGACTCCGCAAGGGCAGGAACGTCCTCGTCCACTGCCAGCAGGTACGCACCCCAATTCCCCCCGTCGTCCATCTCCTTCCTCACTCCTCTCCACCCAGGGCGTGTCGCGCTCGGCTGCCGTCGTTATCGCCTACCTCATCTACACCCACAACATGTCCTACGACTCCGCCTTCGACCTCGTCAAACGCAAACGCGCCTGCGTAAAACCCAACTCGGGTTTTGTCAGGTCCGTCTCTTCCCCCCCTTCTCACTCCACTCCAACGTGCTCTTCTCTGACCTGCTTCCACACAGAGCCCTCCAGGAGTGGGAGAAACAATGGCGCCCTCCCGCAAACGCCGACATCCGTCCAGACCTCCGTCGCGCCGTCACAGCTCCCCTCCCCACTCGCCACTAACACACACCCCCGCCGCCGCCGCTCTCCCCGTCCGTTCTCTAACTGAACGAGAAATCGCGGGATTTTTTTCTCTTCTTCCCACCCCAGGAACGATCATCGACGTCAGTGTCCTATTTGTAGGCTCGAGGGGGAGGGGGTGCCTGGGTCCCCTTGATCCCTCCCTCCCTTCTCCCCCGACGTCCCCGATCACCGAGCCGCCCGTGTGCCCCTCGTATCTATTCGCGCACTTCCCATTCGTGTACCACCACCACATTACGGATGCCGATGGAGGAAAACACCACGATAGGCCCCTGCCCCCACGCATACAAGAGTTAAACCAAGGGCTCGCCGCGGATACACCCCTCCATCCTCATCCGGAACCCCCGTGTTCGTTAGTACGCCTTTATCCGTACCGTCCACGCACATCATCGTTCACTCGCATCCTCATCCTTTTTCTTGGGCTCATTGTGTCTTTCCCCCTTCCGGTATAACCCGTCATATCCTAATGTCTGTCTGTCTTAGTACCCCCAGGTGTTTTTGTTTTTTCTATTAAAAATAAAGGAATCTTCTCATCACTCCATTCCACGTCTGCATCCATCGTGAAACTCACAACGCATCTAGCAAGCATAAAATGCACCACTCCCAGCACGTTCTTATGACTCAGATCACTTCTAGCTCCCAAGCCCCATGCGTGAGTATCGCGAACGTGTTCCCATCAAGCTCAATTGCAAGCTCCAACCTTCGAATTCTTACAGTACCCCCTGGATGTTCGTGCCGTGCCGCGCCGAAGAAACATAAAGCGGACGGCCTGACGTTTTAGCTCTCTCTTTCTCTGAGCTCTCTGAGTGAAAAGAAAACATACATCCTAGACACGAACGCTTCAGATTCGAACACGTACCGTACTCAGACTCACGAAGATCTGAACCGTCCCTCTCTCTGTATGTATGTTTTCTTCGCTCCTTCACTAACCCGCAAGCACCATCCAATCCCAAAATCCAATCTCTATCTAGTATCCCTAAGACGGAAGAAGTAACATGAAGGGAAGGATAAGAAAGAACCGAACGCGAGGTTGGTGAAAGGCGGGGACACTCTCAGACTCAGACCCGGACTCGGACTCAGAGGAAGGGGTGAGGCTAAGACGTACTGTAGTAGAGGCCCTGCTAGTGGGGTTTTGTGTCACACCCCCAAGGTGTCCGTCCATTTCGTCCAACCCGTCCAATCCGTCCAATTCGTTTCGTTTCGTTACTGGCACTCCGAGACTATCGGCATGCACAAGCCTGAGAAAAAAAAACACCCAATCAGTGCGCAACCTGTACGGTCGGACGCGAGTGCAGCGGGAAAGGGGGAAGGGGGGAGCGTCCTAGGACGGGTCAGTGAACGCCACAGTGAATAGCACCGACAGCACTAACCCATGTACGCACCCACGACTCACGAAGAAGAGCCTACAAAGCGCGTTTTGAACTCTTCTATACAGTCTAACCCTTCCTCCCCTCCTTCCGAGTCCCGAGTCCTTCCGAGGTCCTTTTCAAGTTCCTTCCCAGAGTCTTAGGAGCGTCGGACGTCGAGATCTGAGGTGGAAAGGACAGTGGAACGAGGAAGAAGGAAGAAGGAAGGAAGAAGCCACTAAGAAGAAGCACGCACGGACCCTCCTCGCTCCCCTCCCTGCCCTCCCTTCCCTCGTGGAGGACCTAAGTATCTTCGGAGAATCTAAACCCAAAACCCAAAAGCCTCCCAGTAAGAAAAATCGCGATATGTATCCACGACGCGACGACGATCCTCCACATAAGCAATCCGAATCTGATAAGTAGAACAAGAAAGACCCCGGCGAAAAAAGAACCCGTCTTTCTTCCTCCTCGTTTTGAGTCTTGAGTCTCTCGATCGCGGAAACAGTGTGTAGGGGAGGGTATGTATGAAGAGAAGAAGAAAAACTCGGAGATGGGGAGATGTTAACCTTGATTGCCAGCGAGCGAGCGAGCGAGCACTGGCAGGGAACCCGAACTCGGTGGCGTAGAAGAGAGGGATGGGCGGTCCGAGTGGAGGAACTGGGGGCAAGGGGAGAGTTAGATGCGCATGCGTATGTGTGGTGTACAAGCGACGCAGGTCAGAAAGAGGACCACAAGTGCAAGGTCGCGTTAGCGTCAACGGAGACTCAGTCGCCAACACACACACGCCCCGTAGCTGCAAAACGTTTTCATAAGACAAACAGGCTCGAGACATGAGCATATGAACACGCACCAGCCAGAACTCACAGAAGCACATACACACGCACGCAGCACAACCAAGCTTAGAGCTTTTTGCCTCTTTCTCAATTCACCCCTCCCGAGTCTCCGAATCTCCGAGTCCTCATGTCTAACAGCTAACACCGCACACGTTACCGAACCACAAAGTGAAGGCATCGGTCCGAAATCTTGAAGTCAATCGGGTTCCGAAGAAGGTGTGGATGAACAGAGAGAGAGAGCCTGAGTGCAACGTTCACCGACGATCCTTTTGATTTGGCCCGGGCATCGTCGATAAAAAAAAATCTTGCGTGTGTTGTCTAATGGTGTACGTCGGATCCTGTTTTTCCGGCCCTCGAGCTTCCCATGACTCTAGAACTTGTTACTCAGTCGCAAGCGTGAAAAAAACACAGAGGACCTCTTCCACCCCCAATTAGTAACAGGAAAACAGAAGAAGAAGAAAAAAAGGACACTGCCCCAGTGAGGCTCGAACTCACGACCTTCCGATGATCCAAGCCACACGAAAACCACACACACCCAAAGATGGCGTGCGGAGAAACCTTCGCGGAAACTTTTTAACAGTCGGACGCTGTAACCAACTCAGCCATGGGGCACACGTTTCTCTTGGCTTGGCAAGCGTCCATAGTCAACATTTTCCTAACTCTTTCTCCAAACCAGGACCAAAAGCCATCCGAAACTCTGAAAGTCTTGGACTCTGCAACCAGGGCTCTTATCGTTATAACAACGCTTCCCAACCCGCAAGGCTCCCCGTGTCCAATGAGAATAGCGGTGGAACGGGCTCGTTCAGCCTGGAACCGAGCTGAAGTCCTTAAACCTCGAAAGCGAAATTGCGGTATTTGATGGTGCGTGTTCGAGACGGTTGTCATGTCCTTATTGGCTCCTAAACTTGTTCGTTCTCAGATGTTGCAATTATCTTTGAGCTCCAAAGCTTACGAGTCCTCACTGCTACGAGTGTCCGTGTCATGTGCGAGCAGTCTGCAAAGCCAATGGAACATCGCCGGAGTGGTGCCTGGTCCAAAACTCATAAAAACGAAGTCGGGACTTGCTTACTGCTACGCGTCAAGCCCTTCTTTCCAGAGAGAATCCGCGGACAGGCAACGACTTAAACCCCGCTAATGGGCGTGGTTTTGTACTCTGGGCATCGCAATGTGACCATGGCCAAGGAGAACCAAACACGGAGGTGACCCAACGGTGTCGAAAAGCAATAAGTACAGAGGACCTTTCCTACGCGTCTGGAGTGTTATCCACCCCTCTTCTTCCCTCCCCTTCCTGGTCTTGAAGGGTTCTGTTTTCTTTTTTTTTCGTCTTGAGGACGTACCCCTCCGCCACTTTCGTTCTTTCAACAAACAGCACCCGTTCGAGACGGACAAAAAAACACTTCATTTCTTCAATACCATGGCATTCTTCGGTCACCTCTACCTTCTTCTTGTCCTCATCCTCAGCTTAGGTCTGAGCGCGGTGACTGCCCACCGCACACCGGGACGGTTGGCAAGGCGGCAAGAGGGCGGAGGGGTTGTTGTCCCTACAGACCAGGTCTTGGGCACTCTCCTTGCGCAGAACGAAGTCTGGGCTGCGAACATCGACGCGACGCGCGCAGGGTTCTTCAACCAGAGCGCACAAGGCCAGTTCCCGAAGGTATGTGTGTGTTTGTGTGTGTGACGCCGGACCTGGACACGCGCGTCGTAGGACACTGACGGAAGTATGATTTTCAGGTTCTGTGGATCGGTTGTTCAGATTCTCGCGTCCCGGAGAGCGTTATCATGGACTCCTTACCGGGCACCATCTTCGTCCAACGCAACATCGCCAAGTACGTCTGTCTTTCTGAATCCCCCCTCTCTCTCTCTCTCTCTCCCTTTTTTTCTCTTCTCGTCTCCTGACTCGGATCCCCCCCACCCCCACCCTCCTTAGCCAAGTACCCTCCGAAGACACCGCCGTCGTCGCGACCATCTCGTACGCCGTCGAACACCTCGAGATCGACCGCATCATCGTCGCAGGCCACACGCACTGCGGCGGCGTCACCTTCTGCTACGAGAACGCCATGGCGCTCCCGACGCCCATCCCAGACCCGCTCCCTCCCATGCCCGACAAATCCCTCGACGCATGGCTGAACCCGCTCTACAGAACCGCCGTTACCGTCTTGCGCGGCAGCGGCACCGGCTCAGTGTCCGCGAGTACGAAGACGACGAAGAAGAAGAGAGAAGACGGACTGTTGCAGTTGACGGTGGAGAACGTGCGGATTCAGGTGGAGAACGTTGCGGGGATCGAGGCGGTGAAGGAGGCGTGGAGCAAGGGGAGGGACGTGAGGGTCGTCGGGTGGTTGCATGAGCTTGAGACGGGGCGGTTGATGGATCTGGATTTGTGCAGGGGGCTTGCTGGGTCCTGCCATCAACGGTGAAAGAGCAACAGGAGTGCAGCGCACCTCTTCGTGTCTGGAAGTAGATTACTACCACCTCTCAAAAACAAATGCACCACCCGTTTCCTTCTTGAACCACAACTCCGTGAAGAATTGTCGCGTTCGCGGGGAGCAGAGCTTCCGACGCATCACCTCTGTCGCAATGCACGGTTGTGACGGTGTTTCTTTGTGATGAATTGACGAGTGGTCGTCGTCAATGTTCAAGTCGTCTCTACCTATCGACGCCCATTCTTCGAACTTGCTGCATACTGCTAGATCTCTTTGTTGATGTGTACCGTAAACAAGGTAAACCTTCACCCCACCCATCATTCTCTGACTTGTTTTTAGGCTTTGGTGATTCAGCTGCCCTTGTATAGAAAACTTGACTGTCAACATCACAATTACAACGTTCGCTTTAATCTACACTGTGACTACATTATTATGCGCTACTTCGCCCAATACCGCATACAGTGCACGATAGTTCCTACTTTCCGGTCACTTCAGATGGGTCGCGTAGAAAACCTAGGCAAACCATGAGCTGCCTCTCCGAGCATCTTCAGAGCCGAACTCTGCCCCGTGCTCGGTGATGTGCCAATAGGTGCCCTCACCAACTGCCAATTGTGCGCAGGAACAGCAGTACACGCCACCAGTTTCCGGTGCAACTCAACACACAACGACGTCCTTATCCTCTTCTGCGCCGCGTCGTGATGGTGGTGATGATGATGGAACGGAGCAGGGCCGCTACCGCTTCCGAATCCGAGTCCGCCGGTGGTGGTGGCAGCGGTGGTGCAAAAGTCGTACACGCCGTCGTGCACTTCCGAGACAAGCTCGTACGCGCCGGCGCAGTACAGCGCGAACGTGAAGGATGGGGTTTGTCGAGTGACGAGGTTGAGGAAGAGTAAGAATCTGTCCATCGGGTTCGTCAGTGTCAGCCCGAACGACGCGGAGTGCTCCTGGAGACGGGTGAGGGCGGTTCGGGTGGCTTTGGAGATGACGGGGTGAGGTCTGTTTTCGGGAGTGCGATGCGATGCATCAGAAAATCATGTTTTGAAAAACGGTGTATTGATGGAACGTACCCTGGGATGCGAATGAAGGTAGAGAGAATGTATGAGAGCATTGCATGAAGATCATGCACAGGCATCCCCGTCAACGCCTTGATCAGGGGCTGCCAATGTGTCTTTGGGTGAGAAATGCAGGAAAACACGGCTAGACTTGTAGACCATGCCAATACGGACTCAAGGGGACTATCCTGGTTAGAGCTGGTTCTGGGTTATCAAGCTCACTGAGTTCCGTGACTTCAACTGTATGAAAACAGAAAGAACATACAAAAAGATGGATCCAGCCAGCAGAGCACTCCAAGGGTTCTCCTGACTGGGGGAGATCCACGAAAGATCGAGTGATCTGATAGAGTGCAGAACCGGGACGGACAAAGCGAGCCATTGAACTTGGATGAAATGATGGATAGTCTGATCCGCCATGTCGTCGAGGATCTTGAACATACCGCGGACGTGAGGAACAGACGTCGCATGCGCTGCGGTCTCCGCCAAAGATTCAACAGCAACATGGCTTCCCAAGGCAGACAAGATCGCAATGCACCCAAAACGAACATCGCTCGGTGTCGTCGTGAGGTGGTGGTCGTGAAGGGCAGTGAGGTGATCCAGCGCGTCGAGGAGGCCGAGTTCGTATGCGAGAACGGCCGCAGCAGAACTGCCAGAGACGAGGTGGAGGGCGAAACATAATAAGGGCTGAAGATATCTGTCCTGTGGAGACGCATCTCGGATAGTGCAGATGAGGCGTTGTATAACGGTATGGAGCTGCGATGCGTCTCCGGCACATGTGAACTTCACAAAGGTCATAGCACGCAAGGGAAGCATCCAGTACCTCAGCAACTGGGCATCATCCAGTGGGTGGTTCTGAAGCGTATGAAGGAAGTACGTGATGGGCGAGTCGCCTGGGAAGGGCCGACGAGCTTCATCCAAAGGGTAATAAGACTGCAACGCCGCAAACTGCTCCAGCGTGAAAGCTTCCGTGAGCATTTCCGGATGTTCCATTGATATTTCGAATAAGAACCCGCGGAAGGACTCCGTGAGGCACTCAGCGCGTGGGTTGAGAAGAGTTCTATCGGGATGGCGGGGGAAAGTCTGAAGCACGTCGTCGATGATGGGCCGCCGGCCGTCGGGGAGGTTGTCCCTGATATCCGAAGTTCAGTGCCATCACTAACCCCGATGGAACGCGGTAACGCACCAGGATGTGAGCATGCAGATTGCCAGCTCAAGAAGAAATCGACGACAGCTCTTGCTCGGCCAACGCTCCATCGCAGACGTGATGCCTTTGAAGCGCTTCTTCTCCAAGAGGAGAAGTACTAAGTCCCAGGCTAATGTGTTCCCGAGTGATTCGTGCAAGGTTGAGCTGTCTTGCGTGAATATGGCAAGGACGAGATCACAAAATCCGTCAGTGAGACGTGTAGCTTGGTCTGAGAGGTCGTGGTGACCGCGAAAAAGAGGGTCCTTGGACTTTGTTCGGTTCAATCCTACTCTAGAGATGTCCAATCTCCTAGAAAACACGCTTCAATGACGTGGGAATAAGTATTCAGAGAGCGGAAAAACGGACCATCCAGAGCGCCGACAAGCCTCTAGTTGACTGAGGAAGAGTCGCAGCTCTACGCATTCCCATCGCGAGAGGACGCGAGCGATGACGGCAGATTGACGCAGCTCAAGGAGGAGAAAGATGAGCTCCCAGGCCTGTTTGCGGATGTGCTTCGAGTACAAATCGATCCTAACATGTCCTCATGAGTCCTATCAAGCCACACAGAGACAAAAAAAAAGCAAAAAAAAACGAGAAATACCTCTGAAGCTCCATGATATCCTCGCAAAACGTTTCCGGGATGTGCTTTCTCTCCGCACGCAGCTGCATCGCAATCCACCGAAGCCGCGCATGGATGTTCGCGATCTCAACGCCACGCACAGCCAACGAGCCGACGGCCTTGATGACTCGCCCTGACACCATGCCGATGCCAGGAATCGTGCTGGTCCCCGCCGAGCTGCCGACAGAAGAGCGCGCGGAGGACTGAGCGACGGATTCTATCTCGCGGATGAGGCGGATGGTGTCCATGGCGACAAGAGAACGTCCGAGCCGTAGAAAAACAGGCGGGGAGTATCGTATTTGCTCCCCCTGGATGCGTCGATGATGGATGCGAGTTTT